CTCAACTCCAGCCCCATCTCCTTATACTCTCCCAACATCTAACCACCCAGCCACACTGAACCACGTGCCATTCTGTAGATATGTGTCTTATTGCTGTTCCTTTGTTCCTGCAGTTCCTGCCTCTCCTCATCCTCCCGCCTCTTTCCCCTCTCCCTCCCCCTCACCCTCCTTTCTGCCAGGTGAACTCCTCCCTGTCCTCCCAGGCCAAGGCCCAGCTCAAATATCTCTTCTGGTGGGAGGCTCCCCTCACCCCGAGAGGAGAGGTGAGAGGCGGAGCTGGTCCCTCTTTCCTCTGTGTTCCCAGCATCTATTCTCACACTTTCCACATTTTATTGGCTATTTGTGGCTGCTTTCTCTCACTAAGCTGATATCCCTGTAGACAGAGACCCCACAGCTCCAGTGCCTGGCCCGGAGCTGGGCACACAGGAGGGAGTAACAGACAAGGGTCACCCCCAAGAGTACAGAATGAGGGCTGAGCACTCCTCCGGCTTATCACAGAGGCATGCCGTGCGCAAGGGCTTACAAAGTATGGCCCACGGCTCACCTGCTGTGGGACTCTGAGTAAGTTACTTACCTCTCCCTGCCTCCGTTTCCTCATCTTTTAAATGGCAACATGCCCTATGGGGCTGCTCTGAGAATTTCCACCACATAGAGACTGGGCTTGAAACAGTGCCTGGCAGGTAATAAAGGCTCGAGCATTCACTCATTATTAGGACTTTTCATCAGGGAGACCCTGGAGGGTTTAGGAAAGGTGACTGACAAATGGGGTGACCCGTACTTTCCTGCAAAGAAATAAAAGTTCCTGGTCCCACTTGCTGATTCTGCTACCTTCTTGATGGCCTGCTCCTGCACTGGCTGAGCACTGTGATGAATGCTGAAACCAGTCATCATCCATCCGTCCATCCATCCACCCACCTACCTACCTTAAAATGAACAAAGGTGAATTCCGAGTGAAGAAGGAAGAGAATAAGAGTTTGCTGGGCGCCTACTACGTGCCCTGCCGTGGGAGCATGAACAGCCACCCTGACATCTCACACTCTTGCCTGATGGGGGCACACACCCCTGTGAAGTGTGTAGAAATGGCGGCTCAGAGAGGAAGAGACCAGGTCCAGGAACACACTGGAAGGCAGGTGGGGGGACAGGCCTGGAACCTGTGAATTCTAGAGGCAATGCCCTAAGAAAAGAAACCCCAAAATCTAGGACTCCCAAGCGAAGAGCAAGACAGGGACATCCCCAGAGTCCCAACCACACCTCTAAAACCAGACCAACCTATAGGATCCTAGAATGACTCCCCAATTCTCCAGACACTGAAAAAGCTTCATGGGGCAGTATTAAAGGGTTTTACTTTGTTTTTTTGCTTTTCATAAGAGGTAACACATACACATGATAAGAAAAATAATCAAGCTGCTTAAAAAGGCAGAGGGTGTTGAGTCTCTTTCTCACTCCTGATCTGCAGCTCCCTGCCCAGAGGCACCAGCATTATGGTCTTGCATTCCTCCACAGGCATTGAGCATAGACGTATACATCCTTTCTTCCTCTAAGAAAACAACAGCAGAACATATACAACCTTTTCAACCATGCTTTTCTCACTTGGCAACCTATTTCTAAATACATGCCGCATGAGTTTATACGGAGGGGCCGTGTTTGCTTGCTTGCTTTTGTGGCATAGAAACGAATTTCAGATGTCTTCTCCAGCAGCTGGACCAATGCGCTGCACTCCTGCAGCCACCCGTCCTACCTTCCCGGCTCATGTCCTTCTCTTTCTCACCTGCAAACTGCAGCTAGGATACACAGGAAAGAATCCCCCCACCAGGCAAAACATCCTTCACCTGGAATCTTCCAGGATCACACAGCACCGGCGTTTCAGAATCATCTTCACCCCTCCCAAACCGCGCTCAAGCCCCAGCAACCCATTGGATGCTGTAATGAAAGGCCCAACATAGGGAGGTATTTCTGAAGGTCAATGTTGACCTAGACCAAGCCAGGTCTTCTAACTGCCTTCCTTCCCCCAAGCCTGCAAAAGGGCCCCAAACCTCTAACTCAGTCCAGATCGGAGGATGGAGGGACAGGATTAGAACGCTCCTTTCTGAAATCTGTGTGCTCTGTCCAAGGCCTGGAGGAAGCCTGGTCAGCCCAGCAGGTGGGCACAGTAAGCACTGAGTCTGCTCAGCTGAAACCCGCTGTCCAATAGCCCTGATCACAGACACTCTGTGACTGTTCACCCTACAAGCGCCCCAGACTAGGAGGACAGACACGATGTCTCAGTACCACAGTGGCCCCAGCGTCTAGCACAGTGTCTGGCTCAGAGAAGGTACTAAATAAATATCTGTTGAATGAATGAATGAAAAACATGAAGGCAGGTAAGAGGTATTTCAACCAGAAAGGCTTTTCTGATCCTGAAGGCTTGATGAGGGTTTTCCATCCAGGTCTGGGCAAGAAGCTAAGGCTCTCCGATACCAGACTTCTTCTGGTACAGACTCAGGCAGTGGACCGTAGGACTGTGACCCCTAGAGAACACGTGCGAGTGGGAAACCCGGTGCAGTCCACAAAAGGGGACACTGGACCCAGGACCCAACATCCAAAACTCTGGGAAGTCAAGGAATTTATCCAAGGCCAAACGGCCTCTTAAAGTGAAGGAGGCAGAATTCAAACCACGATCTGTGATTGTCCAGCGCCCTCGCTGTTTCCTTCAGTTATTAATAGCACAATCGCAACCTAATGAGACAGGATGGTTTTGTGTCTGCTGCCCTGCTAAGCCGTGCGTTCCTCAAGGACAAAGACCGAAGCCCATTCATCAACACGATCCTGGGACTTGGCACGGGACCTGGCCCCAGGACCTAGTTAATAAATATTTGTTCACTAAATGGTAGCTAAGGGCTGGCTTCCCATGGCTCACGCCTTTTTCCTCTTGTGTAAAGGAATTTGCTGTCTTGCATGCTGTGGCTGGGACTGCAAATCAGACCACATCCCTGGAGGGCCATCTGGCAGTACCTTCTAAATTTTACAATACACATGCCCTTTGACCCAGTAATTCCTCTTCTAGGAAAGCTACCTTACAGAAATAACCATACAAGGATATAAAAATATATGGACAAGGATGTCTGCAATAGCAATAAATTAGAATCAAGAATGTCCACCCCAGGAGACTGGTTACATAAACTGTGGGTCGCCCAGATGATGGCAACTGTGGGTTGCCAGACACAGTGGGAGGGTGGAATGTAGTGGGCCATTTATGTGCCGGTATGAAAGGTATCCAGGATATATCAGTTGGAAAAAGGGCAGGGAAGAGTGGTGTGCACGGTATGCTCCCTTCTCTGCTTCCGACCACGATATCAGTGTATTCAAGCGTGCATCTATTTTTTAAAACTTCCGGGAGGATACAGACCTGACTGTCACATATACTTGATAAGGGTGAGACCACAGAGACCACGAAGCAGAGGTCTGAACTGATGGCTGGTGGCAGGGAGGGGACAGGACACCTCACTTAAATTTCTGTGACCAGGCTCATAAACTAGTAGAACAGATAGATGAACACGCCCCTTGCCTCTGATGTGCCTTGAATATCCTCTCCGTGGGGCAAGCAGGCACCAAGCGTCACAGCATCTGCTGTCACGGACCTTCACAGGCTGGGGGCTCCAGGAGGTCAGTGACAAGAGGAGGGTAGTCCAAGCACTGAGGACTTTGCGCATATCCCACACTTGACACGCGGGAACTCATTTATTCCCCGGATCAGAAAACTGAGAATCAGAGAGAGGTGAAGTGACTTGCCCAAGGTCATTAACCACTAGATGGGAGAATGAACCCAGCTCTGCAAGACCTGAAGCCTGTAGGGCATGCATCCTGTTACTGGCTGTTCTGTTCCCTTCCCCAGCGATGTGGAGATCCAGGGCTGCAGAAGGCACCCACACATCAGTGAGGGAGGGCTGGGCAGGCCCAGTTGGGGTCATCCCCAAGGTCATCCCCCTACCTGACAATGGCCCACCCTGGGAGGCAGCAGTGGGTTCCAACCTGACTGCCCAGCCCCCAGGGCCCTGCTCAGGGGACACTCCACGGGGAGGGTCCCTCCCCCCACACCAAGCACTGGAGAGGCCAGCAAGGGGGTCAGGTGGGGGGTACAGGCGGGGTACGAAACCTCAGACAAGTCACTTCACCTCTCTGGACCCGTTTTCTCATCTAGAATATGAGGTTATGAAGTATTCCTGCTTGCATGGCACTTTTAGTTCGTTTTTAATAAACTTCTCATTGTTGAGTAATACTAGATGCACAGATAGTACAGAGTTCTCATACGCCCCTCATCCAGCTTCTCCTTACGTTAACATCTTATATAACCATGGTACGGTTGTCAAAACGAAGAAATTAACACTGTACAATACCATTAACTAAGCTACGCAGACTTCACTCAGATTTCACCAGTTTCCCCACTAATGCTCATTTGCTGTTCCTCGACATGACCTGGGATCCCACTTTGCATTTAGTCATCCTGTGTCCTTAGTCTTGAATCCACTGACAGTTCCTCATTCCTCCTTTGGTTTTCAAGACCTTGTCACTTTTGAAGAGTACTGGCAGATGTCCTAGAATGTCCCCCAACCTGGGACTGGCTGACATTTTCCCATGATTGGACAGGCTTGTCCTTTTTTGGGACGATCCCTCGGAGGGGAGGTGCCCTTCCCATTCCATCCCATCGGGGGTGCGTGACGTCCGCAAGACTTCTCACTGGCTGACGTCAACCTTTATCACTTGGTTGAGGGGCTGTCTCTGGGTAGCTCCACAGGAAAGTTACTCTCTCCTTTCCGTTCTCTGCTTTTTGCAAGTGTGTTGCTGAGTCCAGCCCATTCTCCAGGAGAGGAGAATGAAGCTTGACCTCCTGGAGGGGGACTTACTCAGATACATTATTTGGAATTCTTCTGTAAGGAAGCGTCACCCCTTCTCTCCCATTTATTTACATCTGTACAGACTCATGTTCCTTTTTGGTAATTCTTCAGCACATAACGCAATTGTGCTGTGATCTGTTACTCAGATCGCCCCAGTGTTGGTCTTTGGCCCCCTTCATGGTGCTCCTGTTTCCTGCTGATGCACCTCCAGCCTTCTCTTTCCTCTGGAGCTTCTTTGCTTTTTGGCCCAAACTCGATCCACGCTTATTCTGTGCTCTTCCTGCCCCAGCCCTGGAAACAGCTATTTCTTCAAGGAGCCTTAGGTCCTTTTACTGAAGACTGGCATTTAGAAACCAAAATCTGGTGCAATTATTATTATTATTTAATGATTAAAAACATGCTTATGTCAAAAATTCCGGTAGTCTAAAAGGTATGAGGGCAAAAGTAAGTCTCCCCCGACCCCTGAGCCCCCGTCTCCCTTCCCAGGGACAATTACTAGTGATGATTCCGGGTGTGTCCTTCCAGAAACAGATGATGCCTATACCTTGCAGAGTTATGGTGTGGACAGATGAGGAACTATATGAAGGGCTGGCAAGATGCCCATCCTTTCTCCTCTCCTTTCCTCCCTGGTTCAGCAGCTCTGCACACGGAGAGCAGGCCCAGGTATGGGATGGGGGGAGGGGCGGGGGGGGCAACGGCAAGAAGGACACTACTCACTAATGGCCCCGGTGTATGTTGGCTGCGTGAGGTCCTTGGGCACCTTCCTGTAGATGTCAAACCTGCAGAGAGCAAAGGGGACAGGGGTGAGGTGGGTACAAGGGGGCGGGTCTCAGGCAGCAGGGGAGATGGTGTCAGCCGGCATGCCACCTGGTCGGCGAGCCACAGTTCTTCCCAGAACCAGCTTCGCCCACTCTTTCAGGCCACCTCCTCCAGAAGGCCTGCCGACTCCCCTCTGAGGGGACCCTGTCCTTGGGGTAGTACTGGTAGTACTTTCTCACAACACTTAGAACTACCTGAGACGACCTTCGTTTGGTTACGTTTCTGGGTTGGTCTCCCCCACCCCCCATCACAATGGAACCACCACAAGGGCAGGGACCTTGTCAGGTTTTGTCCTCTGCCATGTCCCCAGACCCCAGCATGGGCCTGGGGCATAGCAGACACTCAGTGAGCACTTGTGGAACAAACGGAACCCACTTCTTGGGCTTCGCTAACGATGAGGAAATAGGGAAACGCACAGTCTTTCCTGAGTTCCATGACGGCACTGCGTTCTCGCCCGGAGTCACCTCTCCTCCCCCTCTTCCCTTTCCTGCCTCCCCTTCCCCCTCCTGTTTCCACTCCCCCTGCCCCAGCTCCTGCAGCCTGCCTGTGGGGATTCTCAACTCCAAGGCACGAAGTTAACGTAAAATCCTGCCTGAGGCCCACGGGCTGGGCGTTTGCTCGCCACGGCTCTGGCTCCGTCTGACGGGGGTTTTCTCCTTACACACGGAGCAGATGCCTTTCTCTCCTATGGATCCCACCAGAGCAAACGAGGGTCATGGGGGTGGCAGAAGATTTGGGGGCTTGGGAGGCAGACAGACATGGTGTCATTCTGGCCAGCTATTTAATTAAGAGTTCAGGCCTTGGAAGCTGACCACCCTGGGTTCCAGTCTTGGGCTGGTCTTCCTTGCTGTGTGACTTTAGGCAAACGGCTTCACGGCTCTGAGCCTCAGTTTCCTTGTTCGTGGCTACTAATACCAGGCCCTGCCAGGCCACTGAGAGGAGTATGGAAATGAATGCCTGTGGTGGATTTACACAGCATTCACAGACGAGGCTCCTCGCACACTTGGCTTCCTTCCTGTCACTTGAACCTGAGCAGACAGTTCTCACCAAGTGGAGCTCTATCACCAGAGCTCTAAGTCCACACCGTGCTCCCCGGCTCTCCGGCAGGACTTGGCATGGTGAAGCTGCCGGCCGCTCCAGCTCTCAGGGGTGACTGGTTGGCACGTGGTTCCCCTTCGGTGATTGGGAAAAGCTGTCAGCACCCCGCTAACCTCACTGCAATGACTTGGAATCTTGCGTAAGATCTGATATTTGCCTACCGTGCGCTCACTCTAATTGCATGTGAAACGTGCTGGGTTTCCTAACACCTCAGGGGAGAAGATATTCCTGGGGCTGCCAAGTTAAAAGGCAACACTTTCCCTCCTGCCTGTTCAGCTACCAGTCATCTGTTCTTGGGCCCCTGAGGGGCACTAGAAACGGGCTGGGAGTGTGGTCAAGAGGGAGGGGCCACGTGACTCAATTATCCAGACCTACTCATTTACCCTATTCTGAAATGCTGACCCCTTTCGCTGTGAGAGGCATATGAGAGGTAAGAACATGTACGAACTGTGGAATTAGCCCACCTGGGGTCAAACATGACTCCACACTGTGCGACCCTGGGCACGTCACTGACATAACCATTCTGTGCCTCAGTTCCTCTGGCTGTAAAATGGGGGCAACAATACTATCTCACAGCATAGCGGTTAGGACCAAGTGGCTTCATGCATATAAAGCACTTAGGACCATGCCTGGCTCCCAGGAAGTATTATAAGAATATTTGCAGTTACTATTACTAATATTCATCTGACTGGGGCGCCTGGGTGGCTCAGTTGGTTAAGCGACTGCCATCGGCTCAGGTCATGATCCTGGAGTCCCGGGATAGAGTCCTGCATCGGGCTCCCTGCTCAGCGGGGAGTCTGCTTCTCCCTCTGACCCTCTCCCCTCTCGTGCTCTCTATCTCTCATTCTCTCTCTCTCAAATAAATAAAATCTTTAAAAAAAATATTCATCTGACTAACATTTATGAACACCTACTATGTGCTAAGTCCTCTTTCAGGCACAAGGGACACAGGTATAAAAATCGACCCTTGGTCCCATGTGCCTATAGTTTAGCAACAGAGACAGACGAGGCAATGGAAAGAGGATGCCGTGGTGCTCCTCACGGGGTTTGCTGAAGGTACCGGAGGAACCCAGGAAGTGCACCTGGGGTAATCCATGAAGCTTCCGGCAGCAGGTGATGTCTGAACAGAGCAGGAGGCTCGGAGGAAGGGTGGGTGGAGCCATAAAGTCGTTCAGGTAGAGAGAACAGCAAGAGCAGAGGCCAAGAGAGAGGACTGAGCTTGGCGTGCTGGAGTGCGGAGCTGACGGGCATGCAGTGCTAGGACAGGTGGGAGGGCCGGGCACCAGAGAGGTGGGAGGGGCTTACAGTCCGGCTTCCCCGTCCGGTTAATATCAGGTCACCAGCCAGGGCCCACAGGCCGAAACTGGGCCTCATAGTTTAAAAGCTATAAACCATCATTCCAAGACTGGGAGTTCGATGGGAAGTTAGAGGCTGCTCAGGGTGGGGAGGTGGGGGTAGCTGGGGGCAGAGGTTAGAACCTGGTGAGGGTGAAGAGGGGAGAGATGGGAGAGTGATGCACGGGTGGGGGTGGGAGGGGACACACTAAATGAATATGTAAATACAGTGAGGATATTGGGGGCCAGGGGCCTCCCTGCTGGGGAAGGGAGGTATACATGTTAAGAAACATAGAATAAACTGTGGTGCTAGAGTGGACATGGAGGTTTCACTGTGAATTCATGATTTTCAACAGATACAAATACAGAAATACACGTCATATTCACATACATTTCCTGGCTCCTTCCATGAGAGGGTCCAGGAACAGTGACAGCCAGATAGCAAAGAGGGCACCTGATACTCAAATGTTGGCTTCTAAATATCATTCTTTACTCAGAGAAAAGGCTGGTTCCAGGACTAAGCAGGGAAAAAACAAGATGAACTTGGAGCACCTTCTTATGTCAGAAAGCAAGAAAGTGTTCAAAGAATGATGGGGACCCTGGCCAAAGAAAGGACGATGTGAGCATTAAAATCAATAATCATAGGAGTAGATTATAAGCCATTGGATAAAATAGGAAGCCACAAATCTATATAAAGAAATGAATAAATCAGAAGTTTGATGAGAAGCAGGATATTTCTTCAAAGTACCTCCCCACAAAATCCTTTTTAATTACAAAGGGAAAAAGAGTAACTTTACGTTGAGAAACTTGACATCATCTTAACCAAGTGACCAAAGTGAGTGTCACCAGTAAGGAGACATATCATGTGCCTCCTGATCTGACATACTGGGGAAGGCACACCATAAAGTCCTGTGGGGGATCTTGCTCAGAATGTAAAACCTCAAATGAATCATGAGAAAGCAACACACAAATCCAAACTGAGGGTTCATGAGTGGCTGGTACTTGTCAAAAGTATCAATGTCATGGGGCCAAGTAAAGGCTAAAGAACTTTCAGAGATTGGAGGAGACTAAAGAGACAGGACAACTAAATCACGCAGGATATCCTGGATGAGAAAAAGGACACCAGTGGGACAATGCCTGGGATTCAAATAGGATCCATGTATCAATTGATACCTCCGTATAGTGTTGTTTTCCTGGTTTTGATAGTGGTATTTTGGTTATGTAAGTTGGTAGGTAACTTTTGGGGAAGTGTGGGTAAAGGGCATATGGGAAGTCTTTGCATTAGTTTTGCAAATTTTATTGTAAGCCGGAAATTATGGCAAAATAAAAAGTTAAAAAATGTGTTTAACGGAATTTAAGAAAAACAATTTAAGGAGGAGATTTCACATAAAAATCCCACACAGCTGCTTTCTTCACACATAGTGGATCCCTGTAGGCATCTGATTTTGAGGGGCTGGCTTAACAAATGTTTGCTGGGTGTCAAGACTATGTCTTTGTTGGGGGTAGGAAGAGTGGGGGGTAGGCTGAGTGAACAAAGGTCTAAGAGAGGAGGGTAGACTTGGGCCAAAATATTGGAGGCAATGGTGATCAAAGGAAAGAGGTGCTTTGGAGAGAATCACTGATGTGAAACCAAGATCACTGCCCAGCTTGTGCTGGGTACTTTTACACACACATATTCACATTTAATTCTTATGATAACCCTGGCAGACACGGATATCCCATTTTTCCAATGAGAAGACCAAGGCTAAGCTATAAGCCACTTGTTCAGGGTCACCAAGCCTGTGACCAGTAGAGCTGGGAATCAAACCCAAATCTGAGTCATAGGCCATGGTCCTTCCACTTCCCTGTATACTTGTGGGAATCAGTATAGAGCTCACCCATTGGTAAGTTAAAGTCTCAAGGTTTTGCTTACTTTTCCACAGATGCTGCCCTAGAGCAGGTGGGAATCTCCTGGAAGACATGGACCAGCTCAAAATACATTAATTTATTCAACAGATACTTACTAAGCACTTGCTAGCCATATTCTAGGTGTAGGAAAATGGAAGTAGTCAAGGTAGACACGGGTCCTGCCTTCATGAAGTTGCCAGTCTAGTAATGCTTTTGACTCCTTGAGAAGGGCCACCTAAACAGAATGTTCTCTAATAACTACCCCATTCCCACACCACAAATCTAAACTGGGGAGTGGTGGTGGGGTAAAGGGAGAGCTGAAAAAGACCCTGGGTACAGAGCTGACCACAAGCCAAGTGAGTCAGCAGTGAATGTCACTAAGAAAACGGGCCACAGGAAGGCTGGTGAGAACCCAGCATGTGACAGACTGGGAAGTGAGCCGTTCTCTGACTTATATTAGTCAGTCCCTCATTGCGGTGATGTGGTGATGCGATTAGCTGTGGCCACCCAGTGTCAAGAGAATATGGAGGAAAGGGTAAAGAGAGTGGAGGAGGGGGAAGGGATTCTTACTGTATATTTAGTGTGTGCTCAGCTCATGCTATGCCTTTGACTGGCATGTTCTCACTCAATTCTCTTGGCCA